ATCACTGATTGCCAATCTCACATCTCTTGAGTATGTTGATTTTAGTAATAACAGATTTGAAGGTTCATTCTCATTAAGCTTGTTCTCCAATCATACAAAGCTTGAGGTAGTTAGATTCGTGTCCAACAATAACAAATTCGAGGTTGAAACGGAAGAGCCTATAGGTTGGATTCCAATGTTCCAATTGAAGGTTCTTGTGCTATCTAGTTGCAATATAAAAAGGCCTAAAGGAAGTGTCGTTCCCAGGTTTCTACTTCACCAACGCATGTTGCACTTCATAGACCTATCTCACAACTCCTTGGTGGGAAATTTTCCAAATCGGTTAATTGAAAATAATACAATGCTAGAAGTTCTCAATCTAAGGAATAACTCTCTTACTGGTATTATGTGTATGCCACGGTATAGGAATGCTAACACGAGGTGGTTGGATGTGTCTGAAAATCACATGAATGGTACTATTCCGGCTGACATACAAAAGTTCCTTCCCAGTATAGAATATTTAAATTTGTCAAGCAATTCCTTAGATGGCGTTATCTCATCTTCGATTGGTGATATGAGACAAATATTCGTATTGGATTTATCAGACAATGAGTTCTCTGGAGAAGTACCCAAGGCATTGTTTTCAAATATCAGTTCCTTAGGTATATTGAAACTATCAAAGAACAAATTACGTGGCGAGGTACTTTCAGGAAACTTAAGCTTGGGTAACATTGAGAAGCTTGGTTTCGATAACAATAATTTCACAGGGAAAATTGGAAATTGGACCTTCGAGAATAATTATATGAAGAGTTTGGATATTAGCAATAATCTTTTCACAGGTACGATCCCCCGTTGGATTAGTGACATGATGAGCTACAATTTTGAACTTATAGTGAGCAATAATGGGTTTGAAGGCCCGTTTCCTTGTGGAAAAACTTCATTCTCGTTTCTCGATATCTCATATAATTATTTCTCAGGCCYGATCCCATCTTGCTTAGATTTCCAAGCGATGACAMATCTTCATTTGGGTTCTAACAGATTCATTGGACCTATACCCAATGCCTTTCACAATTTGACTAGTGTTTTAACTTTGGATATAGGTTACAACTCCTTGTCAGGAAGGATACCCGAATTTCTTGGTAATCTATCCTATTTAAGGATTCTTATTTTGAGAAAAAATAATTTTAGTGGTTCTATTCCGAAACCATTGTGCCAGTTAAGTAATGTGAATTTGATAGACTTATCGAGTAACTCTCTTTCTGGTTCAATACCGAGCTGCCTACAAAAGATTATGACCTCTGTTTACCCTGCTTTCGGACTAACAATGCAAARTTCATACAGTATGCCACTATCTTATGCCTATCAGAGGGTTATATATGACATAAACTTTGACGATTTTAGTCCGATATCATTTGAAGCACAAGATGAGGTTGACTTCACAACAAAAGCTTTTTCTCACCCTTACAAAGGTAGCATCCTTGATTTGTTGACGGGATTGGATCTATCTTGTAACAAACTAACTGGTAAGATCCCAAAAGAACTAGGGTCGTTGAACCGGATTTACTCTTTGAACCTGTCTCACAATCAGTTGACTGGAACCATTCCAATGCAGTTCTCAAATCTTGAGAAGATAGAGAGTTTGGACCTTTCTTCAAATTGGTTGAGTGGCGAAGTTCCACCACAATTGATTAAGCTTACTTTTCTAGCCTTTTTCAATGTTTCTCACAACAATCTATCGGGTAGACTCCCTGAAATGAAAGCACAATTTGGTACCTTTACCAAGGCGAGCTATGAAGGGAATCCACTTCTTTGTGGACCACCACTCGATAAGAAATGCATGACTACATCATATGTGACCGATCAATCGACTAAAGATGGCAGTGATAAATGGTATGATATCGATATGGCATCCTTCTATGGAAGTTCTGGTTCGACAT